TCTCTAGTATAAAATAATTAATAAAGTACTAAATTATGTGGTATTGGCCTTTAGTGTTACAAGAATTCTAAGAAAGTAGGTTTCATCAAGGACTTGAGGAGTCAAGAGGGTTTCATTCTGGAAGAGAGAGAGAGAGAGAGAGACAGAGAAAGAGAGAGACGCCAACCTCTGGCCTCTCTTTCTGTTCCTCTAAGGACACTAATTCTATCATGATGTCCATCTAAACTTAATTATCTCGCAATGGTCCCACCTCCAAATACCATCACATTGGGGCTTAGGGGTTTAACATGAATCTGGGATTGAGGGCACAAACATTCAGTCCATATCAGTCTCTAATCTGAGAATTGCATATCAGTGTCCACATGGTATTTTTACATTTTTTAAATTGGAATGTCTTGGAAAAGTCAAGCACTTTTCAGTTTACCACAGTCTTTGCCACTCCCTATTATATTATTCCTTGCTACATACTCAATGATGTTGTCTAACAAGCCTGTGTAGATACTTGAAGTCTTGACTCTTGATTTAAACCATTTATCTTCTCAAAATTTATCAAGATTTCTATATTAATATACTTTTTGATTCTTTTTTATAGGATGGAGAGCCTACTAAGGGGAAGGAATCCCCCACAGTATCAGAGAAGTCCTTGTAAAGAAGTTCGTGCAGCACTTCGGAAGAGGCCTGAAGAGGAGTGTAAGTATTTTAATAGGATTAACTATACTGTAGATAGATTTTGGTGAGTAGCATTGTAAAACTAAAGGGTTAACCTTTAAATAATTTTTAAAAATAGAGGTACTTAATAAGTATTTATTGAACCAAATTGAATTTATTTTTTAAATAAATATTACCATACAGTACATGGATTCAGACCCTAAAAGACCATTGTTAAGATGCTGTACTGATAATTGGGTTTCCAAAGAGATTGGAAAAGGCTGCACAATCCACCACATTTTTCTTAGATAGTCATGTCATGAATATTAATGAGTCTTGAAGTTAAAAATCATTTTGAAATGTGTTTAAAATTAACATCCTCTAGTTTCCTTTGACCACTATGCTTTTTCAACATTTAAAAAAAAACAACAAAACAAAACACCTGAGGACTATGAAAACCACTGCATTAGACTAAAGAATAAATATCTAGTGGTAAATATAAGCCCATTTAACAGAGAAAAATATTTTATTTAATCCCATTTAGGGAAATATTTTGGAAGATAGAAGGTGTGTATCTCACCATAAACTCATTTTATTCTATCTTCATATTATTGCATATTAATGTATATACTTGTCAGGAGAGGTTTAATTTAAATATTTGTAGTCATTAGCATTTTTTGAAATGATTGACGTGTTATTTGCATTTTAAGTTTCTAAAATGACCCTTAGTACTAACTTCATTCATGGTATTTGAATATAATTATTTTCAGGGAAGTAAATCACATTCCATCATGATAACATTTATCTCAATTCTGCCCTTTTCCAGGAACTTACATTTTATAAGGATAGAGCTATTGCAGTGGGTTCATTGGCAGGTACAGTTTAGTAGACTTTTAAGAATACACTGGCATTTTAAATTAGTTTGAAGTACACTATTCCAAGTAAAGACCAAGTACATTAAATCTGGCACATTCATGGCAAGTTGAGTGTTTCTGCTTTGTTCTGTTTTATTATAATGTCAATGGACATCCTAATTTGGTTGGTGTTTATATCATTCAGTGTAATGTTAGTTTTAATTGGTAGATTTAGCTTTAACACTAGAAACAATATCTAATTAAAACTAAAATTTCAAAATGAAGATTGAGTTCATGGGTATCTTAAAACAAAAACTATAAGATGTAGGGTCTTGCATCTTTTATTGGGTACATAAGAAAGCCTTGGGGTTTTTCCTTTATGCTAGTTTATCACAATCAACTTAGTATCTGGTATAGTTCTACAGATTTTCTTTAAAAATTTAGAAGGGATTTTTGTAATTAAGTCTGTATTGATTCTTATAGAGTTACTATTTAACATATACAAAGTAAGTTTTCAAGCCTCTTGTACTGAGTTGGTCTAGGCCAGAGGTTGATCAACTGATCTATTGAATAAATCCAGCCTGATACCTGTTCTATAAATAAAATCTTACTGAAACACAGCCATCTCCTATTTACTTAGGTATTGTGTATGGCTGCTTTTGCACTACAAAGGAAGAGTTCAGTACTTGTGACACAGACTGCCTGGCCCACAAAGTCAAAAATATTTACCTGATTATTTACAGAAAAAGTTTTTTGAAACCTGACATGGGCCAGCCATTCTTAATAGTGTGGTTTCCAGACCAGCAGCAGCATCTGGGAACTTGTTAGAAATGCACATTTTAAGGGCTGCAACCCACATCTACTGAATCAAAACCTCTGAGAGTCCGGTTCGGTAATCTGTGTGTTTTGAAGGGAGCCCGACATGAGATTTGGATGCAAGCTCAAGTTTGAAAACCACTAGCCTTGGTCAAATACCTGGCTGCAGATGATATTAAATCATCATGGATGCAAAAGACTAATGATTATAGAGATATTTCAGAGTTAATATAGGCATATGTCAGAGTTAAGTCTTATTGTTATCAAATATAAGGTACGTAATATAACTGATGCATGTGTTATAACAAGAAAGACCTCATCAATTGGATTGCGGCAGTCATGCCATTTTTGAACTAACACTATAGGAACACTGTGGGTTGACTATGTTATAGAACATGGAATGATATAATGAGAAATGAGAAATTATAAAATATTGTTCTCTTCCAGAGAGGTCTTAAGTATCCCTTGTTAATATAATGAACAGTTCTTGTCCTGTTATAGGACAGGATTGAAGTCCTTAGAAAGAAGCCTTCTTTAAGAATAGAAGCAGCATATCATATTAGAACTAAGACATTAACTTTAGGGTCACACAGTAGACTTTATTCTGTATGTGACACTTAATGTGACAGCTACAGGACTCTCAGTATTTTTTGTCTTTCATCTTTATTGTTGAGATTATTACAGATGTCCCTCTTTTTTTTCCCCATTGCCCCCCTTCACCCAGTTCATGCCCCCTGCCCCAGGACTTCCCCACCCTATTGTCTGTGTCCATAGTTAAGGCATATATGTATATATGATATTTGTTTAATCTTTTCCCAACTCCCCCTCCTCCTTTCCTTCTGAGAATCCTTAGTCTGTTCCATTTCCATGCCTCTGATTCTATTTTATTCACCAATTTATTCTGTTCATTAGATTTCTTATTTTTTTATTTTATTTTTAGATGCAATTTTTGATAGATATGTATTTGTTGCCATTTTTTGGTTCATATTTTTTATCTTTTCCTTTTCTTCCTCTTCTTAAAGAATACCCTTCAGCATTTCATATAATACAGGCTTGGTGGTGATGAACTTTAGCTTTTTCTTGTCTGTGAAGCTCTTTATCTGACCTTCCATTCTAAATAGCTTCATGCACATTAAAAGGGAATTAATTATAGGAAATATTTTAATATTGCTATTTGCTCTTTCTCTATAATTGAAGTGTTAGAGATGAAAGAAAATTAGTAAAATGTATATGAAAATCTCCATCCTGTCAGAGTCTGGGGTGCGCCACGGGACCTAGAGTCAAGTCCCCGCCCACCACCTGCACATGCTTCAAAAACCCAGGAGACCCAGACCTGGCCGGCCCCACCCCCATTGTGTGAGACCCAGACCCAGCCGGCCCCACCCCTGTCAAGCCCCTCTGGGTGGGGAGGTGCAGTCTCAGGTCCCCCATCAAGCCCCACTGGGTAGGGGGTGGGAGGGTGCAGCCTCAGGTCCTCTGGCACTGGGGTGAGGGGGGCATGGCCTGAGGTCCCTCATCAAGCCCTGCCAGGCTGGAGGCACAGCCTGAGATCTTTCGTCCTGTCCAGGCACCATACAGCCTCAGGTCCCTGGTGTTGGTTGTGATGTTACAGCGTCTAGGCTAATTTGCATATTCATCTATTACATAGATAGGTTTTCAATATCTTGCTCTCTCTTTTCTCCTGGCACTCCCATAATTCAGATGTTGGTACACTTGAAGTTGTCCCAGAGACTACTTACACTATCTTCATATATTTGGATTTTTTTTTCTCTTCTGGTTGGGTGTTTTTTGCTTCCTCATATTTCAAATCATTGATTTGATTCTTGGAATCCTCTACTGTACTGTTCAATCCCTGTACATTATTCTTCATTTCAGTCAGTGTATGCTTTATTTCTGACTGGTCCTTTTCCATTATTTTGGCATTCTCACTAAGATCTATGAAAGTCTCACTAAGTCCATTGGAGGTTTCTGGAAGATTCTTGAGTAACCTTATAACCATGATTTTGAACTCTATATCCAGTAGTCTCCTCTCTTCCATTTCTTTCATTTGTGATATGCCTCCCTATCTCTGCATTTTGGCTGCTTCCTTGTGTTTGTTTCTGTGTATTCAGTAAAGCTTCTATGACTCCTTGAGTTGGTATAGTGGCCTTGTGTAATGGCTCAGCCTCCCCAGTCACCTGAACTGGGAGCTTTAGGTGCACCCCTTTGTGGGCTGTGAGTACGGTCTTGTTGTAGTTGAACCTTGATTGCTGTTGATGTCACTGGGAGGAATGGACCTCCAGGCCAATTTGCTGTGGGGACCAGCTGCAACTGCAGTGGGAGAGCTGCTGTGCAAAAGACACCTCTAGGAGCAGTACTTGTTTCTATGGGTCTTTGGTGTTCACTGACTCTGCCCCTGGTATGGTCTGACACTGACCACTGGGTCACTGGCTCTTGGGTCTCCAGGGAGGTACAAAGTCAGCCACTGCCTGGAGCCACCCAGCAGGAGGTACAGAGAGATCTGCAGATTCCTCCTATTTGTATTGGGTTTGGAAGTACCCAGATGAGGCTCAGCTTTGAAACAAGGCAGGCTGGTGCTGGGTCTTGGGCCGTTTATTGATAGGACTGGGGCTCCCTGATCCAGCTGAAGCTTGTTTTACCCTGAGCAAGGACAGGCAATTCATATGCAAAAACCTCTGCACACAGGTTGGGGGGCTGCAATTTGGATGGGGCAGGGTCTCAGGGAATCACCAGGGTGGAACAAACAGAAATGGCTGCCAGGGAGGTCCCAGAACAGGAGCAATGATCCCTGCAAGCACCTCTGTCTCGGAGAAATCCACCCCCGAGTTTCTGACCTGATGCCAGATAATCCAGTTCCTCGTATGTGTCTGTGTTCCCCAGAACCTCATCCTGGTGCTGGAGCTTAGAGGAAGTGAGACCTGGTAAGTTCAGTTCATGCACTGGCCTTTTAAGAGAAATAGCTGGGTCTCCAGCAGCCTCTGTGTCACTGAGCCCCAATCCACACTGGTTTTTATAGCCAATTACAGGAACTTTTTTTCCCAGCTCTGGGACCCTGTGTTGGGCATCTGGTGTCGGGCTGGGACCTCTTGCTCCTCCCGGGTGGTCTACACAGAGGCTATCTCCCTCCCAATTAAAAAGGCAGCCCACATGAATACACGTCCAGCCCCTTCTGCCTCCATGCCTGCTACCAGTGTCAGTGTGCCTTCTTCTTTACCTCTCTAATTGTAGGACTTCCATTCAGCCAGCTTTCAGGCAGTTCTTGATGATGGTTGTCCTGTATTTTAGTTGTAATTTTGTTGTGGTTGTGGGAGGCAGCAAGTACAGGCGTTTACCTATGCTGCCATCTTGGTTCTCTCTTCCGTGGTTTTTTTA